GCATCCTTTCCACCTGTGAACACAGCAAGCTCAGCCCTGCCCTGCAGCATTTCTACTATCTGTTCCTTCAGCCTGAGATGATCCGCCCTCTCCCAAGCCTCCAGCTGTCTTGGTCTGCATCTTCAGATCCCAATTCCCAAAAGCTGTCTCCTGAGAATGTTGGGGGATGGGGGTGGTGACGGAAATGTTCTCAAACTGCACTGGGGGTGATGTGTGCACAACTGTATTCAACTTCCCAAACTCATCAAAAGGCCCACTTTAAATGGGTGATAGCAGGTAAGCTGTACTTCAATAAAGCTGTTAGACCTACCTTTTCCAAAAAGGTCACCTCCTGAGAGGCTCCACTGCCGTCCTGATTTAACATATGCAACCTCGGATAACACCACCCTGTTTTCTTCGTAGCACCTGTCACGACCTAGTATTGTGTGCCATCAACCTCTCCCCCAGGAAAATGTCAGCTCCAAGAACAGAGGGCGGTCTGGACTCCTCTAAGAAACACCCGGCGCTCGGCAGGGAGCCAGGGCCAAGGCGGCTGCTATTTAACAGACACTTGCCTGGGGGGGCAACGCGTTTGTGTGTTTACAGTAAACACTTGGCAGAGGAGGACAGAAACAAAGGAACAGACAAGTTTCAGAGACGAGTGCAACGAAGAAAGGTTAACGCGGGAGAGACCGAAAGGAACGGATGCCCTTCTGTAGAAGAAGGGTCAGGGAAGGCTTCTCCGAGGAGGTGGGAGCATGTGTCTGATAAGCCAAACTGTTAACAGAGAAGGGCGGAGACGACAGACGCTGCCATCAACTCTGTGACCCTTCCCGGTGCCTGTTTCCCCAAAAGAAGGACGAGGGGGTTAGACCCGGTGAGACCCCAGAGTCCCTCCCAGGGGCCAGTAACGAAGCTCGCTAACTGGCCGGCTCGCGCCCAGGGGCATCGCTGCCTGGCGCACTCCGCCGGGGGGCCGGGCATCGGAGGCGTCATGGCGGCGGGCAGCGAGGGAGGCGGCACGGGGCCTACCTGAGAGTCACGCCGCGACAGGGGGCCGGTGGCGGGCAGCGGGAAGGACTTGGGAGCCTGCGAACCCGCTCGGCGCGGAGGTGGCAAAGGCGAGCCGCGGCGCCCAGAAACCCCAAGGGCCGAAATACCCTCACGCCGGTGGAGGAAACGGCCCAAATTACCGTGGACCCACCGCGCAGGCGCCTCGGAGCCACTTCCTGTGTCGCCCGGAAGGCAGGGAAGGAAGAAAAAGGCTCCCCCCGCCCCCGGTCCCAGGAGACGAAGGCACATGCGCAGAAGCACCATTGACGCCAAGAAGGAGTCCCCGTGCCAGCAATTTGCGGATTGGTCGAAAGTTGGGGTGGCCGCCTGCATGTTGCCAAGCGACCGTTTTGATAAATTCGCAGCCCAGCTGATGGAGGGTCGTTAGTATTTTCTCTTGAGTATTAAAAGTCTAGCATATTTCTGATTCCCGCCAGCCCAAGTCCAAAGCCATTCTCGGAGAAGCCGATGGAACGATGCCTCCTCGGTCGGCGGTGAGGTCGGCCAGCCTGGGTCCCGGCCCTTGACCTCGTGTTTGCCGATTGGGGCGTCGTAAGCCATCCCGGGCTCTTTGGGCCTCGGTTTCCCGCCATAAAATTGGCACAGTGATGCCCGACTTCGAGGGGAGTCCTTAGGTTCAAGTGAAGCCACATACGTGAAAGACTTTTTGCTAAGTGTAAGGTTCCATAAGAATGCGAAGGGGCTGTTATGACGCGCGCGCGCGCGCCAACTCCAAATATTTCAGCTGGTGGCTGAATTTCTGAAGGAAAAAAAAAGGCAGGGATCTGCTGAGGTTGTGGGACAGACGCTGAATCTTCTCCTTTGCTAGTCAGTGTGGTCTGCGAACCCGGAGTCTTGATACCTGCAGGGAGCTTTCAGACCCACAGGACCTTGTTATAAAACGCAGATTCAGGAGGTCCAGGGGGGCCTGAGAACCCACATTTCTAGCAGATTCCCAGCTGAGCTTGCCGCGCCACGCACGGCAGCAGCTGAGCACCAAGAATCTAGATGAGGTATTTGGGATCATTTGGGGGAACTTTTGTAAAGCCCTGCTGCCTGGGCCTCACAGAGATTTCTGATTTAGTTAGTCTGCGGTGGGACAGAGGGAATTAATCTTTTTTCATAAGCTCCCCCAAGTGAGTCTAAGATGCAGGCAAGCTTGAGAACCTCTAGATCATGATAATAATAATAGCTCTCTTGAGCACTAGATGGTCCAACTCCTGTAATTTCCAGAGCAGCCCTATGAGGTAGGTACTGTAATCTCCATTTTATAGAAAGGAAAGCGCGACGGAGAGAGAGAGAACATACTTGTCAGACATCACACAGCTGTTAAACGGCAGAGCCAGAGAGGTCTGTTGGGTACCTAACCCCACCAGCATCATCTTGGAATCCTCTCTTGACAAGTACTCCTTCCTCAATGACGCCTTTCCTCATTCTTTCCTAGATGGATCATCTCATACCATCTCTTCTTTAACCTCTCAGAGCCCCTCAGTGCTTATCATATTCTGTCTCATAAAACAGTGCAAATATTTGCCTTGTCTAGCTTCCTAGATTTTAAACGTTATGCCGTACTCCCGTGCATGATGGTAGAGGGGATATCTCTTGTCAGTTGCCATGTTAAATAGTCATCTATTTTATAGTAATCCTTTTTAGAAATAACTCTTGAGAATTAGAATTCTAGATGGTTCCCAAATAGCTACTAATGTTAGGTTTTCATCTGCATCAAAGAGAGGTAGCAAAGCCAAAACACAGTGCATTTTGCTCTCCCATTTCCTTTTCCCAAATAAATGAAAATTATTTTAAGGAAGTTTCCATCATAAACTGGAAATGAATGTAATTATCTAAACTGAATGTATCTGCAATCCCCTTTCAAATTTCTTTTCAAAAAATTTTTATTTTCAAATTTTAATGACTACTGTTGATTTTTCATTCTTTCCATTTTGCAGCACTGAGCACAGTGTCTTACACATATATGCTGCTAAATCAGTATTTGTTGAATTATATTTTCCATGCCTGAGGAATATTCCAGAAACCTCTATTATGATACAGATTCTCATATAGTACTGGTTATTCAGCATACTTTAAAAGAATCTTTCTGCCATCTAGGGACAAATAACTGATGAGCTCCTTTTGCATATACCATCAGGGGAAGAAGAGCAGCAGCATGCGCACCCAAATGTAACAACAGCTAACACCCCTTGACTTTTTCTGAACAGAGTTACTCAAACACTTTACATGAATTATCTCATTTAATCCTCACAATGACTCTATGGGGGCATTATTATTGTTGTTATTTCCATCTTACAGTTGACAAAATCAAGGCCAGGTTGTAACCTGTCCCAGTCACAGAGGCAGTGAGTAGAAGGGGAACTGGGATGCAAGCCGCCTGGCCCCACAATCTGACTCCACACCTCCCCAGATGGCAGACTGCAGCAAGTCACCTCACTTCTTCCCTCTAGAAACAAGAAGGGGACTCAAAATGATCTGTATGCGTGGGTAGAATTATTGAGCCATAAAGTACAGGAAAAAATTATCAAAAAAAATAATTAAAATTAAATTTCAGTTATGGCTATCATTCGCATTGGCGAACACTTCTGCAATTTTTACCCAAGGCAATATTTACATTCCATTTCTAGGTGAATACAAACTAAATATGCTTGTAAGCTTAGTATCAATTCCTTTTCACTTAAAGTGATTTTTAATTTTGAAACTTTAATTAAAAAATTCTTTTTTTAAAAAAGACTTTATTTGAGAGGAAGAGAGAGCATGAGCTGGGGGAGGGACAGAGGCAGAGGGAGAAGCAGGATCCCCACTGGGCAGGGAGCCCAATGTGGGAGTCGATCCCAGGACGCCGGGCCCATGACCTGAGCCGAAGGCAGACACTTAACCGACTGAGCCACCCAGGCGCCCTAATTAAAAAGTTCTAATATGTTAAGTTTTTATAAAGAGCATGGTTGCCAAGAAGCAAACACGAAGTGTAGCTTTACAAGGACTTGGAGGCATCCAAAGCTGATGATACAGAATGGATTTTTTCTAGTAGTACTCAGTCTCACACAGGAATTCTCATGGTTTTACCCAACTTCTTTTGCCATGTCTCAGACTCTTCTACCCCATTCCTTAGAACAATGACTTGAAAATATTTTAAAGAAATATCCACCCAGGAGAGCCTGGGTGGCTCAATCAGTTAAGTGTCCGACTCTTGATTTCTGCTCAAGTCGTGACCTGGGGGTCCTGGGATCAAGCCCCATGTCGAGCTGCACACTCAGCAGAGAGCCTGCTTCAGGATTCCCTCTCTCCCTCTGCCCCTACCTCTGCTCTCTCTCCCTCTCTCTAAATAAGTAAATAAATAATTCTAAAAAAAAAAAAAGTGGAAGAAAAAGAAATACCCCCCCAAATAGCAGGAGGATCTGAGAGAACAATAGAGCTTCTGCCAGCAGAGGGAGCCTTTGGCTTGTGTTTGCAGGATTGTTTCCTTGGGATATAGACTTTCAAAGGTGAACCCAAGTCCAAACAGAAGTAATGTTTCTCAATACTTTGCTACAAAAACACTCCGCAGCAAATATTTTTTAGTGCACATGTGTATGTGGTTTAGCTTTGACAGCGTCCGTTCTTAGCATCCGTTCTTTTCAGCACCAGTAAGCAGATACCTCTGTCAAAAAGTTCAACCAAGATGCTCCAGTTAAAGGAAGTCATAGATGAAATCCTGTTATGTTTTTGCCTATTTTGTAGAAACTGCAATATGTGTTTTTTTCTCCATGAAATCATGACTTCTCAAATCACTTAGCACCATCAATGATGACAGTTAAATTTCCCAGAAACCTGGGGATATTACAAGAGCTTTTATTTTATGAGGGTGATTATGAGCTCTTAAGGAAAAAAATAAGATTCTCTGAACATCTTTTTGTTGCATCAGGTTTTATTCACTTTCATTACAAACAATTCCAATACCATTGTTCTTTAATTAAAATTATGAAAATATTAAAAATAAACCCAGTAGATGATGGTAGAGGGGATATCTGTTGTCAGTTGCCATGTTAAATAGTCATCTATTTTACAGTAATCCTTTTTAGAAATAACTCTTGAGAATTAGAATTCTAGATGGTTCCCAATAGCTACTAATGTTAGGTTTTCATCTGCATCAAAGATAGGTAGCAAAGCCAAAACAGTGCATTTTGCTCTCCCATTTCCTTTTCCCAAATAAATGAAAATTATTTTAAGGAAGTTTCCATCATAAACTGGAAATGAATGTAATTATCTAAACTGAATGTATCTGCAATCCCCTCTCAAATTTCTTTTCAAAAAATTTTTATGTATTTTCAAATTTTAATGACTACTGTAGATTTTTCATTGCTCTCCATTTTAACAGTATGTCCTAATCCAGACATCTTGCAGCTTGACCAAGCGTTTCTAGGTTAGTGATGTTCTCCTTCACAGAACTTGTCAAAGTTCAGTGACATTAGATGTTAAGGAAGGAAGAAAGGTATAAATTCAAAGAAACACTGTGACTTACAAAAATGTCTTTACAATTTGGGATAGTCTCACAAGTCAAATTGATAGTCTCACAGAATATTCTCAAAATGAAATACTTGGTTTTCTGACGTGACCAAGGGGAAATAACAGAATTGTTGACATTGCAGGCTTGGTATCAGGAGGACCTGTTTTGACCACTAGCCAACAGTAAGAGTTGTAGACGTTTCCGGAACAGTGTGCCCCCTCAGCCACACGTCACGCATTTCACGTGTACCAGTGTCGTGGTTATTAAAGCAGGAGCCGTGGAGCCAGGCTCTGGGGGTAAGTCCCAGCTCCACTGCTTAGTAGTTATGTGACCTTGGGAAAAGCTCCTGAGCAGCTCTGTACCTTTGTTGTCTTATCTGTAAAGTGGGGATGAGTAAGAAAAGTACCTAGCTCACAGAGTTTCAGTGAAGATGAAATTAATGTTCAAAACACCCAGAAAAATATGTGGCACATAATAGGTGCTATACAAGTATTTTCTTTTCTTATTATATGACCTTACTTAATGTTTACCAGAACCTCTTGTGTAAGGCCAGCTTCATGGGTGCAGTCACGCCAGGCCCCATGCAAAGAAGAGCCCCCAGTGCATGCTTTAATTCTCTGCTAATATCTTGAAATTCTTAATAATTTTTGAACGAGGACCCTACACTTACATTGTGCACTGGCCCCACATATTCAGTAGCTGGTCCTGCTCTTGAGGTAGACAGTGTTACTGTCCCCACTCTGCCCCGTTCCGGCGACGTGGCTTTGGACAAGCAACATCCCCCGTGTTTTCACCTGTAAACTACAGATGTAATTACAGACCTGCCAGGGCCCTTGGGAGGGTTAAGATAATGTGTAAGCAGTGACTGGCACAGGTAAGTTCTCAGAAATGGGACCCACTATTACCAACATCTATTTTGATAAAATAACTCACCAACAATTCTGTTCTCCTCTAAATACATATTCTTGCTTACAATTACAAGTAACTTCAGTGCAGTTAAACGTTTGCTGAAAGTACAGAATAAAGTCATAAAACTCATCTCTGGAAAAATTCAGAGAGGGTTATGAGGGGAGACGATTGAATCTTTACTATTACAGAAAGACCTTATTAAAATTTGAGGCTTCTGTAAATCTTGAACGTGTTTCATAAACATGGACTAGAGGGGAAGTCAGGGGACTTGATGTGGGGTGAGAATGGATAAAACCGTGGGGAAATTTACAAATAAATTGTTAATAATAAAAAGCATACTCAGAAACAAAATTAAGTGCTTCAGACTGCATCAACCCAAATATTTATTCGTAATAAATTTTACTACTTTCACAAGTGAATGAATAGGGTGTGACCCCTACACCATGAAAGCAAAAAAGAAAGCAACTAAAAAGGAAATGCTAGACACTCTAATTCATTTGCAACTTCTCAAATTTAGGTTATTATTAGTTTTGATACTAAAAGATGCTTCATGCCTTAACATTAGTTATATTGTAGAAATTAAATATTTTTGCAGACTTTGATGGCATTTTTACAATATTTTTTCAAATAAAATTTAGAAGTCAAAATAATGTATACTCTTTTATAAGTTACTTTAGAACATAGGATAGAACTCAGTCTCCACAGAGAAGGATAGAGTCTTCTAAAGAAAATTGTTTTGGCAAATAATATGATTAGTGGAAAATTATTTTACCTCTACAGAATTAAGAATATACGTTCTTTCCATGACAGTATCTACTACTGAAAATAAAACCAATGAAAAACCTCTTGCAATCACAAGATCTATTCTGATACATTTTTATATCCATCCTCCAAATTTTAATTTGTTAGGTAGGTACACTCTGGAAAGATAATCTGATGATAGGAAGGTCAAAGCTTGAATTTCTGCCTTCATTTTAGAGTCTGCCATTATTTCCATCTGTCAATAAAAGTAAAGTACAGCTGTGACCAAGGCCTGTGCTACAGATCTCTTGACTCAAACCTAGTAAATCTAGGCTTGTTTTATTCTCAGAAGCCATGGGCAATAGCTTTTAGGTCAGCCAAAACATTCCAGAGCTGTTACAGAAAAAAATGTTAGAAGAATACCCAGTATGGGTGTCTCTGACAACTAGGGATGGGCTGGTGTGTTTATGTAATTTCTCTATTTTCTTTCTCCCCCGCCCCCTGCCCATAAACTATGATACAGCCATGGACGATGGGTAGAGAACTATGATGAGGATAAAAACAGGTCAGCTCCATCCATCTGATCTTATCTATTAGCATTCGTAATTCAGTGTTTCAACAACCATTTACTGCCAAACACCACTCACATTAGTTGTTGGTTATATAAAATTTCAAGGAGGATATTTACAGAATATTATGTGAATAGCCACTATGAAAGTTAAAGGCAATAAAACATACAACACTTGAATTTTAGAAAGAAACATACTTCTTTTCTCCAAAATGGTTGGCAAGTAATATAAGGTCTTTTCAGGACACTGTCAAGTTTCATCTGGTCCCGTTTTGTCAGTGGAATTAAAGTATCTCTAGGTATATTTAACCTAGAAAAAATACATGAAAAAAATCAGCAAAAACAGAGTGCTCCTATAACTTAAAGGTCACATCTTTATTTGTATTTATTATACTATGTCAAGAAACTCAGAAATAACAGATAAGCAAATTAGTACAGATCCCTCTTTTAAAGCCAGAATTTGGGAGATGTCCTAGATCAGCAAGGATTCAAGTTCATAGTGGACGTCCATTCTAAATTGTTGTTTTCCTTCCCGTCACACTCACAGGACAATGACAAGAAGAACACAGACACTGGTATTAAACACAATGCTAATAGCACTCCATCAAGTGTATGGACACCACCGTGGCTCCCAGAGCGCCACGGCCTCAAAGCAGTGAGCTGTAGAATATGCGTGGCCAGCAGCAAAAGTCACTGTGGGATCTCAGGTTCCACTGAGCACTTCATTCTTTGTAATTCATTGAGAACTTTCAGGGCGAAGGAAGTTAGTCTATTTCTAACTTATTTTCACTTAAGCACACGTGTGTGCACACATACACGCACCCCTATCTAGTTTTAAGTTTTAAAAAAAGTGAATTGTAATTTTTTCTTGGTGTGTGTTTTAAAAACAGGACAGCAAAGGTCCAGGATTTATGGTATAGACTACTTTTTTGAAGTCACAAATCCTGGATTTCCCAGGAGAGCTCTAGTTTCAAATAGTCTTTTTCAATGTCCCCACAATTATGACCATTTGCCAGTGGCAGCTACCAGATAGGGTGACAATTTGATTAAAAGTTGAGGCGGGGAGCTAGAGGATTTCCCGTGAAGCTGTGTTTGTGTAGCTATCACACTTCTTAAACATTTCATTGTCCATTTATTTGGAGTGGCTTTGAGGGCACTGATGGAATTTATGAGATGCAGCTGGAGTTTCTTCAAGCCCTCCACCTTAATAATTATCAGATCATTTATCCTGAATTTGTGTTAGGAAAGCTCTTCATACAAACAGATCACCCCCAAGAGATTTTGACCATGACACATACACCAAATGGAACAAAACTTTGATCCACTAGAGTGTAAATACTCAAAAATCAAAAACTAAATGTTTTCTCTTATGCCCTCATTTTGTTAAGAAGTGGCAATCACCCAAAACCTGTTCACGTTCCAAATTTAGGAAACAAGGACCAGGTACCAGGGTTTGCTCCCTGCTTAAAGAAACCCAATAAACACCTATAAGTTCATTCATACTGGCCAATTAAACAATAAAATATTTTTAAATATCACATTAGCAGAGATGAATAAAAGTGATCATGTCCCATGCTGAGGGACAGGTGGGCTCTCACTCTCCAGGGAAAACAAAATAATTAACCTATCAGGAGGGCAGTCAAAATCTTAAAAATGTGCATACCCTTTGACCCAGCAATTCTGGGAATTCAGCCTTGGGGACTAAGGGACTAATTAAAGATGTGGGCGAAGATTTAGTTACAGGAGGGACCATCAAAGCACTATTTATCAGAGATTTGGAAACCACCCAAATGTCTGACTACGAGGCACTGGCTGAATAAACACTGGTACATCCAGAATTGGAACTCAGTAATAGAAGACACTAAAATGAGGTCATGGGTACAGAAAAGTGATTTCATTGTGTTGTGTGAGAGAAGCAGATTACAAAGTAACAAAGTATGATCCCATTTTTGTGAAAAAGTTATGGCTATGCACAGAGTGTAATAATAATCTACAGTGGTAAAGCTGTTCATCAGTAGGTGATTTTTATCTTGTTACATAATGGAACTTTTTCTATAATGAACATGTATGTTAAACTTGACAAAATTTACGTTCCCAAATGTTAAGTAATCTTAAAATGAGATTTTTTTTATGAAATTAAAATTTTAAATCTATGGTAAAATTGATTCATATGACAAACGATGTTGTCAATGATTACCACTTAACTAGATTCAATATCATACTTTTGGAGTATAAAAATATTACAAAATCTTAAAAAATTAAAAAATAAAAATATTACAAAATCTTTTAACCATAAAGGTAAAACAAAAACTATTTTCTAGCTGAAAGTTCAGTTAACCAAATTCATTCAAGCATTTTTGTAATTGAAACAGAAACATCGATGAATTTAATTCATAATTCTATAATCCTGAGTCATAGTGACAATATAAACACATTAAGAGCTTTCCCATACAGTCACTTTTTCGGCTTATTGTTAATATTACGATGAGTCATCATTTTAAATATCCTAGTTTTACTAAAACTAAGATTAATCTAACCGTTTAATATCGGAAGGGAGGAGACCAAGCCATCTAATAGCTGGAACTGTGAGATTATGGGCCTCAAAAGACATTGCCTAAAATAAAGAGCAAACGTACATTAGGTGAGGCTAAATTGCAGAAAACCAGCAGACTTGTTTTTGCAGCCACACTTTTTACTTATTAAGAAGGATAAATACAAAAGACTGCACACTTCCTGAGCCCACAGAACTAAGAAAATCACCCAGACTTTTGCTAACCTGGGCTTTCAGTGAGGTTTTAAAACTACTCTAGGATTTCTGTCTTGATTTTATATAAATTAAAACTGCAAATGAACCTCTCTGACCTGCATTTATTGTTGTTCATGATTCTGTATTTTAACATCTTGCTTCACCAACCCTTTCGTCTGAACATATACGTCATACAAACATATCTGTCAGAAACACTCAAGGTGTATACCAGTGGTGCCCAAACTTTACCATGCATCGGAATCACTTGGGGTTCAAGCCCAGAGATTCCAATTCAGGCGGCCTGGATGGGGACTGAGCTGTGCATTTCTAGCAAGTTCCCCGGTAATGCCAACACTGCTTGTCTGGGACCCTACTCAGAACCATTGATGTACAGACTCTAGTGAAATTTGGTGATGTTTTCATTTTTCCTTACAGTGGGTGTAAAGGGAATTTGCAATGTCAGAATTCAAGGTTATATATAATTTTCAGAGTTTATTTGGCAACCAGCCCTTGCTGTTACCCTGAGGTCCCACAGTTACTTCGGCAGACTGGGAGAGTGAAGGATAATAGTGTCTCTTGCCCACAGCTAATCCCACTCTGTCATCTGTGGTCACAGTGGTCATGCTGGAAGCTAGAATCACAGCCACTAACACAGATTGGCCCTAGACTAGAAGAGTAGCTCCCCGGTACACCGTGGGGGTCCTCAGCTAACTAAGGGCTGGTAAGTGAATGCAGCAATCACTCTGATGAGTATGAACTATCTCAATAGTGGAAAAGGAAAAATACTTTTCTGTACTTACCTTAGATCCATACTTGTAGATGCACATTATTTCTATGCCTGTGAAAAGAGTCACCTTTATGGTTAGTCTCCTTGCACATCACAGGTTAGGTCTCTTGTACATCAAGGCTATGGTTAGTCTCCTTGTACATCACAGGTGTGCACTCTCACATTTTATCTAACACCTGCAACTTTTATTTTCATAGACACTACCAATAAAAAACTTGTGGTTCAGTTCAATGGGGCAAAAAGAGCAATAAATTGCCTCAAATGATTATAATCATTAATTTTAATCTGATAACCATCTTCTTTTAAAATAATTTATGAAAGTGTTCTAAGAGCAGAAAAGCACAACTATAAGTATGATGAATAGGATTTAGTTAGGACGACGGCTTCAAATAATCCAACGACAAATCACCATGCGGATCGGCATCGACAAGAGCGAAAACAGGAATGTGAAATGTATCCCATAGCTTCTTGACCAAAAGTCTTGTGTTCAGATCAGGTACCCCCTTTCCCTAAAAGGAAGATTGAAATTATGCATTTTAATTCCAGCAGAATGAAACTGACAAAACCTTTTCCTTATCTTACCAACAATTTAAAAGTTAGAAAAGTTAGATCACCTTAAATTTCAGGTGGAAAACTAGGGTGGACTGTGAAAAATGTACAGTCTACACAACAGAGTGAAAAAGCCTGCCTACATTTGTCACTGTGACTCAACTATCCCAGTCCTGGGTAATAATCCTAAGGAAACACTTCAGCAGAATCAGAAATAATAAAAATCGGACATATCTACCAACAGGGACATGAGAGGCAGCATTGCACATGTCAGTCGTCATTCGGCAGGTGTCCTTGATTACTCCAGTGTTATCAACTCCTCCCACATGACCCTGTAGCAGGAAGCTTACTACCCTTTGCTCACTGATGACTGTAGCTGCCCGTGTGGCATCTCAATGTATGCTTCTGTGTTCTTTGCCATTCTTGGTGCAGATATATATGCATGTCTATATCTGTACAGAAAAGCAGGTTCCCTTTGATGGAATTCATGCAATTACCTGATCTACAAACCTGTGGGGGAGGCAGAACACAAAGCAGCTCCAGTGTTACCATATTATAGATGAGACGAGCAGCCATGGGAGAATGGCATGTAGGTGATTCTGAGAGCCTGTGCAAACTCACTGTGGCATTAGAAAATCACTGGTATTTAAGAATTGGGACCACCAGGGACACCTGGGTGGCTCAGTCGGTTAAGCGTCTGCCTTCGGCTCAGGTCATGATCTCAGGGTCCTGGGATCGAGCCCCACATCAGGCTCTCCACCTACCAGGGAGCCTGCCTCTCCCTCTCCCTCTGCCCCTCCACCCAGCTCGTGTTCTGTCTCTGTCTCTCTCTCTCTAATAAAATTAAAAAAAAAAAATTGGGACCACCACCTTGATTTTAGTCAGATTTGAGGATGTTTAAATAAATGCCTTGGAAATTCTTACTCCCTCACCCCAAATGATGTGCCATATTGATAACAGAACGTTGTGTGAGCTGTAGAGATAATGTTATAAACCCCTCTTGCCAATCACCAAAGTAGTATGTTAGTCTTGGCATTGTAGTAAAGGGAAATAATATAATACCGTAACCATGATGCAAGGGGACATTCTGTTGCAAAAGTTGTCATCCAGGAGTCGCTGAAATGTCGCGTCTTTTTCTACAATTAATAGAAATTTCGCATCTGTAATTAAATCTGTGATGTTAAGGCTGATAATTCGAAGACAAGAATATTTCCATTTAATCACCAACTAAATAGTGATGCCATATAAATCAATTCTAAAGCAGCTGTAGATATAGTATATTCTTTTTTGCCTTCAAATACATAGACACCTATTCACATATTTAGATACCTGTCTCTTCTACTAGACAGGGAGCCCCTAAAGCAGAAACCATGTGTGTTCATCTTGACCACCATAGGGTCTAGCTTGATGGTTACACATTATGAAGGCTTGGTTTATCAAAATAATGAACGAATGCACCTTCTACAAGCTTAAATAGTTTTACCACTCAAAGGATACTTTGAATTCCTTGAATATTAGATGGCACAGCAACGGCCTAAGTTAACAAAACAAGAGAGTTTTTATTTTAAATAAGCAAGTATAACCACATTTAAAAATGTATCACAAAAATCCCATATTTTCATTTTTCTCTGAATACATCAGTCATCAGAGATTTATTCCTCAATAAAGAAACAGTAGGAAACAGATTTACTCCTAAGAAGACAAACTTGCCACCCAAACTACTTCCTAGCAGGTGAGAATCTCTCAGAAACTTTGTGGATATGTGGCTTAAGCGGCAGAAAGTGCTGAATTAAAGCCCTCCTATCCTAGAGCACACAGGTGTCGTCTTGCTCATTTCCAGACTGCTGTGCAGATTAGTGCTGTGGGCTTTCCAGGTGCCAAAGCCCAGCAAATAGTTCAGAATTAAACAGATCAATTTCCAAACCAGGAAACTGTATCAAGATTACATAAATAACCATGCTAAAATAGCCAAGCTACATTCTACCTGAAGACAACAGTACATTTTTCAAAGGAAAGCATATCTTTGTTTATTTTAATATGACCTTTGACAACTGGCGTATTTTAAAACTGTGTTAACGGAGGACCTCCTAAAGCATACGCTTATTCACCCTTCAGTTTTATTTGAACATCTTAAGCTCCAAACTACATAAGAAAGCAGGAAATAAAATACATTTCAAAAACAAAGGATCTGAAAGGGAGTTAAAGCAGGTGACATTAATATACTTACTGTGGAACCACAGGTACAGTGCACTCTGGTGCCGTCTTCCTCCATATACCTTAAATTGCCAGCAATTAAACCTTTCGATGTAGATAACTGAAAAAATAATAGCCATGTTTGAACACTTTTTCACTGACATATTTTTTATTTATTTAAGCAATCTCTACACCCAATGTGGGGCTCGAACTCATGACCGCAAGAGCAAGAGTCGCATGCTCCACCAACTGAACCAGCCAGGTGCCCCTCACTAACATATTCTATACGGCTGAATCAATCCTCATGTTCACCTGCCAGATTACATGTATTTCAGCTCAGACTGGAATTTAAGAAGTAAAGGAGAAAATACGGAAGGATATTTAGGAATAAAAAATATTTAGTAATTCACCTGTTTTAGTCCATTCATCCAAGGGAATATATTGAGAGTAGATTATTTAAAATCATGACAAAAATGTAGTATCAAATAGTATCAAAACAAAGCACAGATTACATTTTTCTATTATGATTTTACACAACTCTTTTGTCTTAAAATAAGGTGTTTTGTATTAAATGCTACTTACTATATGTAGACTCATCCTCGGCACTTTTAACATACAAGAAATGTCATTGATAATATTGTCCACGACAGTCTGGTTACCAAAGAGTTGGCTGTCAGTATAATATATGTCTCTATGAAAGTTAAATATATATTTTTAATTAGCCATATTCTCTTTGACTATGACAAGTATTATTTGTGGGAAACTTTAATTGGATGAAATACAACATATAAAGAAAGTAATTTATTACCCATAGTCTAGTCTTATATACCATTTCAAACCATAATGGGAGTTAATCTAAACTAACTCTCGGGTTGCATCTTAAAGGAGTAATTTACCAAAACAAGTATTTACCTTTTGGTTGCATAAGTGTTGCTCTGTACTAATTTATAAATCATGGACAATATTTTAAGAATTAGGGCTGGAAAATAAGATACAATAAACAAGTTACTCATCATTTCTCTCATTAATTCAAAACATACCATTATCAAGGATTCCAACTACCCCCAGTTACTTTCCGTAACATTAAAAAAATTATCTTTCCAAAATAGAAAGCACTGAGAACAGAATAATAATTTCCTGAAGGATCAAATAAATTGCTGTCCGAACAGCAAAACTGAGAGAATACTTTTCTACTGAATTATGTACCTTGAAAATTTATTTTGGAATTATAATCTGCTTCTGTGATTACTGACAATGAAAAATTCTGTAACTTTATTTCAGGTGTAAGGGTGGTCTATTAAAGAACAACTAAAATTATTCAACTAGGAACAACTAAACCCAGAAAGTAACCAAACTTATTTATTTTATTACTAAAAGCTAAAAAAGATTAATTTACCAAAATTTTTAACTGATTTTGGTGAATCACTTTTGATTTTTCTCGTGGTACAATGAGATACCATCTGAAGACCCACAGAATCTTCAAACCTGTCATTTTGTTGAAAGGCAATAAGATAAGAAAAGAATTAACTTCTGAACACCAAACAATGTACACTTAATGTGCTCTACTGCGCATCACCTAAATCCGTATTTCTTCTCAACAGAGCCACTGAAGCTTTAGGACAACTTCATTTATAATCTTAGATAATTCCAGGTGGTAATTAGGTAATTAGCTTTGTGACATACAGAGGCACTAAAATAAAGTGTTTAAAATAAGTGAATTAAATACCTTTGAGTATCATGTATGTGTGTGTATTTAGTGTCTAATGTGTGACATTTTAGGTATGTAAACTATTTTCACTTATTTCATAATTTTATTAGCATTTTGCTCATTTTAATATTTACTCATTTATTAATTTCCCTCAATTTAACAAGTTTTGAAATATATTTCTGATTTACCTCCAAAATTACATTAAATGAAATAATTTATATTAGGTTGTTAAGTTGAACTGCCAAGCCTGTCCTAAAGGTGGCAGAAGGCACCAGGCAAATAGGTCAGGTGTTAGCTGCCTGAGGGCTTGATGAAATCCATTCTCCAAAATGATGTAAAATATGATTCAAAAGTTTACAGTTTTTATTAATTATACTGACCACAAAAGAAGTCTTAGTGACTAAGGAGACTCAAAATTACTTTTATTCTGTTTCTGTAACTCTTACTGAGAACTATTGTAGTGTTTTTCATTATTTAGATTCTACAGGCTGAGCATCTGAAAAACACAAAAGATACAAGCAGGTTGGAGGCTTTGACAAAACTGTTTGCTGATTTTACCTTCTTGGACACATGACTTAGCAGGGGGAGATCTACCAGGAGAAAGAGGCTTTGAAATATGTTCTGTATTCCGGATACATTTATTTTCCTTCCAGTATCAGGACTGGTTGTAGCTCCCCTGAGCAAGTGGTTTGCTTTTGCAGTATTTCTGCAGAATTCCACTGGTCATATTTCCCCCCTTTGAGTGCTAGACATTCTAGCTTAGATCCCAGTAGGGAGCCTGTTTTTAGCAGAACTGTAAGACTTTATCATATGCATTTTGAATTCTAACCTCTTCTGGAGCTTCGTTTGTTCTTCCTAGCATTGTTTTCCCTTTGCCTTATCTTTCACACCCACTTCTAGTTTATATGACCTGCTTATGAGGTATGTATTTTGTAAACTTCCTTAAATCCTTCTAGGCAGGGTAAAAGCAGTAAAAAGAATGAAATCAGACTAGAACTCTAACTCAAATAAATTCAAATAATGACATAGATACTGTATTTAAAAATAAAAAATGCAAAATACCTACTTTATATTTTCCCAGCTTGATCTGTTGTCTATTGTGAATGCAGGTGCTTCATTCCTTGCCACACTTGTGATGATGTCTTGGATAACACTTTCTATAGATGCAAGAACCTCAGAACTGAAACAATAAACACACTATGATTCAATCTTAATTCTAAATTAGACCTTTACACTATGTAACATTTCCCCAGATCAACAGGAAAGTAGGTTTTAGTTTCATTGGTTGTTTTTTAAGACTAGGTAATTCGCCTCCATACTGACCTCTCCCACTAAATTTTGACATGGGCATCGCACTAAAACAACAACCGTATTTATAGTGGTTATTTACAGAGAAATTTCATTTGCTTGTAATTCTACTTCTCAAACAATTACCAATTGAAGTAATATCTCCCTTTTAGACAACATTAATAACTAGACAATGTGATTTATAAATGTATTTTAATCTCTTCATATTAACCTACTCAAATTCAAACTTGTTGGCTTGAAATACTACTGATAAATGTTTTAATTAAAAATGATGTAATATTGGCTTTGAATTTAATTTCCTTCCCAAAAATGCAATGCAAAAATATTCCAAAAGAAATACTTCTTATTGTAGCACATCGCCCTGATTGATCTCATGCCTTAAATCTGCCCTTTTGAATTTTAGTGATACAAAGAGAAAAAAGTTTAATCACTACGTAGCATGGAAAGACTTGGCAACCATTACAGCACTTCACAGAAAAATATTAAGACCTAGCCCAGTCTTCTGTGAGCTGACTTTTCATTTCACAAGCCATCAGCTTCAGAAAATGTCGTTCAGTTATAAATACCATTAGCGTATTGCCTAAGGAGGGAAATCGAATTAAATCTAGAAAATGCGCAGAATGTAGAATGTCCTAATTCCCCCAGAAACTTCAGAGCTTGCTTTGAAAATGCATGTTATCAGAAAGCTAATCTTAAAACAATCAGTATTTTCTAACACGGAGCGATACAAACTGACTCAAAGAAAGATCTCATTCATTTTTCCAGTTTGAAAAAAAAAAGTTGCAAGGTAACACTGTGACAAACTTGAAAATACAATTAGATTAACTTGCATCTGAAGCTTAAACAGGGGACTTCCATTCCCTCCTTTCCTCACCCTCATAAGTTCTCCCTCAAACTAAATACTTCTATAAAAATCTGTTTGCTTGTAGGTTTTCCACTTTTTTTGTGTGTGTGGTGTTTTGTTTTGTTGGTGGTTGGCTTAGTCTTCTTAAAAATAAGACAGTAATTTGTTTAGGCTGAAAAATTTTGCTGATAAACCAGAAAAGCAGATCCAGGAAAAAAAAAAAAACAGCATTTTAAATAAGAATGGCCAATAACATAAACACATTCTCTGTAGCTAATTCCGAGCCGGGTAGCTGGAGAACCTCAGTAATCCATCTCTTCAGCACCTCTAACCAACCCCGCCAGCCGCCAACTGCTTTAATTGATTTTAAATAAATCACTTAAAATGTGTGTACATTCTCTCCAAGTCAAGTAAATCGTTGTCTCACTATCAGCCACTTCCTTGTTCAGTTTGATAAAACCCGGACTGAGCGAGACCTCCCAACATTCGTCTTCCCTCTTTCTCTTCACACACGCACGCACACAAAATCCTGAAAGCTTTTTACATTGAAATTGTATCCAGAAAAAACGTGTTGTAAACAAACACAAAGCCAAACTGTGCCCTGAATTCCCTGACCTCTGAGAATCTTAGGAACCCGGCGAGCCTCGCTGTGGGGATGCTCCTGGAACATTCTAGAAGGGGAATATTCCAGAAGTCACCAGAGGCGAGGTCTTTCACCGGGCTTTTTGAGTTCCAAAATAAAAGCTAAAAGCGGAAAAGCGAGTGCCCTGAGGAAGGACTTTTCTCAGGGTTCATGAGTGGCCGGCGAAGGGAGTTGCTCCTGGGGCCTCCTCATCCCGAGACCAGGGAGACGGCAAGGAGCGCCAGCCGTGTCCCTACTACAGAGCGCCTCAAGACCCCGCCCCAGCCCGGCTGGGAAGCCGGCTCCTCTCTAACTTCCCAACATGCGCGCCCCAGAGGGGGCCCTTCTACCTCGAGGCCAGGCGCGTCCCCCCGCCCGCCGGCTCCCCACCGCCTCTGCTCAGGGTGGCCAGCAGGGAAGCCTTGTGCTGGTCCACAACCGCGAAGAACGAGGCCTCAGGCCCCATGGGTGCAAAGGCCATGAGGGCCGACAGGAACTGAAGGCTCCAAGAGCAGGAAGCCCCCTAGCGCCCGCGACGGCCCTCCCGGGCGCTGGCAGCCCGCCCGCCCTCCCTCACAGCCTCCCTGGCGATGGCGGTCTCTTTTCCCACACTTCCGGTCCGGGCATGCGCACACCTTGCCCCCCAGGCCTGCGCATAACGCCTCTCATTGAGTGGAGTGCGCAGGTGCACAGGGTTCAGTCAGGTGCAGTCCCCACCTGCGGGGCAAAGTGATGGGCCGCTGGGGACCAGCATGACATGTCTGGGATATTGGATCCAGTTTTCCTTGAAATGGATTTATGGTGTTTGGGTTTTTTGTGGTGTTTTGTTTTGTTTGTTTGTTTTTTTGAAAACTAATACCAGCGATATTTCATGAAAAGAAGTAGTTCTGGTGATCCACCTGTGTGGCAGACGCAGCGCTAGGCAATGGGTTCAGCTGAGATCAAGGCAAACAAAATTCCTGCTCTTCCTGATATTTTTATAGTAGCCAATCTCTTAATTCTCATAACCATCCCAGGAGGTTCCTGATGTGGTCATGGTGATTTTGCAGGAGGGGAGGAAAATGAGGTCCACAGCTGAATCAGACTGGGGTAACATCCCAGCTTGGTCACTTTGAAGGGTCGCCAGATTTAGCAAATTAAAATACAGGACGCTCAGTTAAATTTCAATTTCAGATAAACAATTAATGCTTTTTATTTTAAAGGATGACTAGATCCCATGCAATCGTTGAGACATACTGTTACTGGAAATTGTTTTGTTGTTTATCTGAAATTAGAACTGAACTGGACATCCAGTATTTCATCTAGCAATCCTGACATTGGACCACATCCTCGCCTGGCAGATTTGGTGAGCTGTCCCCCCTTCCTCCCCGCCTCCCTGGCTCTGAGCCTTTGAGCAGAAGCTAGGAGTTCTGAAGCCCCAGGGAAGAACTCTTGCCTCTGGGGGAATGATGTCCTTGAGAGAGAGGAAAATGGGGAGAGACTATAAAGCAAGGTAGGCCTGTGGGGTCTTGGTCCTACAGGGATGGGAGGCCAAGGGCTTTGACCCAGAAGAGCCACCTGACAGCAGGCCCCCTCCAGAGCACTATTTTGTTCCCTCACTTCCTGGTTATTTGATAGTTTTGAAATAAAAACTGCTTTGCCATCAGAAATAACAATGAACCCCCTCTGTTCATAATGACGGCTGCTTGTGCCAGGCCCCGAGCTGAGGGCCGTGGTTATTATTATCACAAATACTTGGTCACTGCCTACTCTGAGCTAGGAAGTGTTGGTTACCGAGGACACTGCTGTGGCCAAGGCAGGCAGAGTCCTTGCCCTTTGGGAGCTCACCATCTAAGAAGAGGATAAATAAGTGAACACTTAAATTTGAGGTTGGCAGGGTGAGAAGTGCATTTAAATTGGCATCCTTAAGAGGTAAAAATTATTATCCCCATTTCACAGATGAGGAAGCTGAGGCTTGGAGAAGTGGAGCAATATGTGCAAGAGCGCACCCTGGTATGTGATAGAGCTGAGGGGTGAACCTCGACTCCACCTTCAAGCTGCTACCACAGGGATGGGAGGCACCCCTGCGGGGCAGGCTTGGGAAGGTGCAGTAATATTGCAGAGGCTTCTCTGGGGGTGGACTTACCCCCTCTGGCCTCCGTTTCCCCATGGTGAGATGAGCGTGGTGCCCCAGGAGGGCTTTCGTTGATCTTCCTCATCAAGAAACAAACATCAGGCCTTTGAAGGGTGAGGGCAAGTCAGTGACACCAACTGGGCTTGTCTGCTGGGAGGTGCCTCTCTCCTAGGACTAGAACCGTCTGTTTGGTTGTCTCTGCCTTCTGTGAGGACAGGCTGTTCCATATCACGTAGTGCTACACTCAGCCAGGAGCCAGTGGCCTCACTGGATCTGACATGAAATGGAAAGTCCTGAGCTGGGCAGGGGCACAGGGAGGGGATCAGCACAGAGAAGGGAACAACCCATAATAAACCTGGCATTCCTTCAGGGAGAAACCACGAGGGGCCCGACTTGAAAGGCCTCACTGTGCTCCCACTGCGACAGACCAAAGCAGGAGGCGTTAGCCGTCCTTCCAGGCAGCTGTGGTTCTGCCCCCAGGTATCCAGGCTGCACTCAGGTAACTTGCAGGCTCTGCGTGCACCACCTCCACATCAGAGTCAGCCATCCCAGCCCCAGGCCCTGAGAGGAAACCAGAAAAGCAGATCCCACCCCAAGCAACAGCTTGCAAAGGAAACAGGCAGATGCCACTTTGCAGGGTAGTCTCCCTAGTGGGTCCTTTCTTCCTGCTCTCCAGTTACGCTCAGCACAGGGACAGAGAAGGGTCACAAAGCTGCGCCCGAGCTGCTCTTGGGAAAATGGAAAGCTTTTCTTTCCCCAAACCCCACTAGTGGGCCTTTCGTCCGGACCCAACCCGACATCCAGAAACTTGTCTGAGAACCAGAGCCCCCAGGCAGGTTGGCAAGGAGCATTATTCAAATTAGACACAATTATTGTAGGGAAGGATGGGGGGGCCCACCCAGAGGAGCAGAAAGGAGAGGATGCCACGCTTGTTACTTTTAAGCAAGGTGGTGTCTTTAGCAAATGTAAATGGATTTTAACGTATTATAGATTCTTGAGAAAAAAACTAAACACTACAATAATTTCTTTATTTCTTGGGGCTTTAGCAGGTGTTTTTCTTTTTTATGTGTGAGGTTTTTGAGGTTTTTTAAAAAACTGTAAGAATGCTATATGCTTTTAATAAAATATTTACATAATGCAGAAAGTACAGAGTAAGAGTGAAAGAAACCCCTGCCCCTTGCAGCCACTCTCTGCTCCACCTTGATTTGTCCTCCTCTGGGCTCTGCCATCCTCCTGACCCTGGAATTATTCCCTCTTGCCCCAGGGCCTTTGCACGTCCGCATCCTTTAGCAGTTTGGAATGTTTTGCCCTTTTTCTCTCCTACTCCCTCCCCTCCCTCCCCCAAATCCAGCTTGGCTAATTCTCCTGTATCCCTCAGGTCGCAGTCTGGACATCTCCCTGGACCACACTCCAAGTCCTGACCCCTGCCTTCCCCCTGTCTCGACATGCCTGCCTTTCTCTACCCTGTCAGCCCCCGGGGTGAACTCACCCGGTACCCCACAGTTGTACTGTGCCCGGCACACAGAAGGCCCTCAGTCGTGTTTGTTGAATGAACGAATGACCCCTTGTGGGATTATGTCTATCATCCACTTGTAGTATTGCACCTCAGACATCTTTCTGTGCATGCCCAAATAAGCATCATTTTTTATATGAATAAGACGCTACTCAAACATTCTGGGATTGCTGCCATTGGTCACAATCATAACCGCAGTTTGCTGATGGTCAGACACTGAGCCAAATGCTCTACACACAAAATCTCATTTACTCCTTCCCACTGTGTGAGGGAGAAAGTCGAGGCTCGAAGAAGTATAAATAAGCTTCTGGGTTTCTTAGAGAGGCATATGAGAAAACTCTGACAGGAACGGGGTCTCTGCTGTCAGCTGCTGTACGAGATTGCCTCAAAGTCAAGGTAATTTAGTACTGATGAATAAATTTGCCCATTTCTCATAGCCAGTGATGATATAAGAGGGTGTCTGATGTAAAGCAGATCAATGAAAGGAAGATAAATCAAATTTTAAGAAGGTCAGCAAAATATTTGGGAGCATGTAGGTCATCTTACTGATGCGGGCATGGTGGGTGGTTTTTTTTTTTTAAGATTTTATTTATTTATTTGTCAGAGAGAGAGAGAGAGCACAAGCAGGGGGAGTGACAGGCAGAGCAGGCAAGGAAGAAGCAGAGCAGGGAGCCCGATGCGGGACTCGATCCCAGGACCCTGGGATCATGACCTGAGCTGAAGGCAGACGCTTAACCAAATGAGCCGCCCAGGCGCCCTGTGGTTGTTTGTTTTGAGAGAGAGAGAGAGAGAGAGAGTGCTATAATACACACACACACACACACACACACACACACACACACACACACACACACCCCACCATGGACCCAACAACAGCTTCCATGACTGTCAACTCGCAGCCAAATTTTTTCACCTACATCTATCCCCTTCTCAACCCTCCTTCAGGATTATTTGGAAGCAAATTCCAGGCATCATATTATTTCATCTGAAGTATTTAAACAGGTATCTCCAAAAAACAAGGACTCTTTGAAAAAAACCCATAATCCCATTTTCATAGCAAAACTTCTATTCACAATCATCCTTTAATATCCCCCAATATTCCCCTCACTGCTTAATGTCCCCAATTCCATGAATTGTTTTTAAGGTGCAGATAAGTTCCATCCATTCATGGCTTTGGGCTGATATGTCTCTTAAATTCCCTTAATTCTGTAGGTTCCCCTCTTTTTCTTCCTTGCCATTTATTTGTTGAAGATACCGAGTCATTTGTCCCAGAGAGTTTCATGCAATTAATAGTTTGTGGATTGCACCCCTGTGGTGTCACTTAACCTGTTTTTCTGTCCCTGGTATTTCCTCTAAATTGGAGGTTAGATTTAGGGGCTTGACGGGTCTTGCTTTGATCTTCCCCCCCCCCACCCCCTACCCTCGCCTTTGGCAAAAAATATATCCTAGGTAGTTTGAACTATGTAGAATCTCTACTGTAACCTTCCAGGACCTCTGTGGCTGGGGTTTCCAGGTTGAGAAGCTCAGAGCCAACCTGAGCCTCTCATTAACAGAAGGAGAAGCTCACCCCAGGCGGTGAAGTCATGCTCAGCAAAATCCCTGCTGAGTTCTGAATCCCTTCACGGAAGACCAAGCCAGAGGAGGACATCCAGGGAGAGCTCTCAGAGCCACAATTTCCCTCCACAGCGTACAACCGTCCTATGGATTTGCAAGGAAGTTTTCTCCACCTGGCTGCCTCTTGGCTGGCTAGCATGCAGAGTCTTCTTGCCCCAACCCAGCCTGACGCATCCTCTCTGCTTTTTATTTCTTCCTCACACCCCAACTGGGCTGCTAATCACTCCCCTCCCCCCACCCT